TTTAGGGTTTAAGGCTTTAGGGCTTTGGGGTTTGGGGTTTTAGGGTTTAGGGTTTGGGGTTTTAGGGTTTAAGGGTTTAGGGTTTAGGGCTTTAGGGTTTTAGGGTTTAGGGTTCTAGGGTTCTAGGGTTCTGGGGTACTAGGGTTTAGGGTTTAGGGTTAGGGCTCTAGGGTTCTAGGGTTTAGGGTTAGGGTTTAGGGGGTTCTAGGGTTTAGGGTTTAGGGTTAGGGTTTCGGGCTTAGGGTGGCAAGCCCGGCACATTCGAAACTCCAAACATTTCAGAATCATACACATTCCAAGCCTGCTACATCTTCTAACGGAAAACCTTCAAAACCTCAACCTTGAAAATTTGCGGGGGCGGTTGGGGGTTCGTGGTTCAAAGGTTTGGGCTTTCAGGGTCCATACTGCATGACTGAACGTTACTGACCCACTGAATCTCCCCAGTCTCGGATTCGAAAACTCGTGACGGCTCTAGAAATAGCATCAAAAAAGGAACTTTAAACCCTAAACCCCTAAACCTTAAAACCCTAAGCCTTAAAACCCTAAACCCTAAACCCCTAAAACCCCAAACCCCAAAACCCAAAGAACCCTAAACCCTAAACTTGCACACTGTAGGGTCATTCATGTCTCGGTGTTTGGGGTTGCGGGGCTGGGATCCTGTTGTGACTTTGGATTTAGGGGTTTAGGGTTTAGGGCTCAGGGCTCTAGGGTTCTAGGGTTTAGGGTTTAGGGTTTAGGGTTTTAGGGTTTAGGGCTTAGGGCTTTTGGGCTTTAGGGTTCAGGGTTATAACGACTCAAACGATTTTTTTTGGGGCGGCTCGCGGTGTAAGAATGTTAGCGGCCTTCATCTCGAAGGATGCGGGGTCTCTTGTCTATTCCTTACTTCGCAAATAAGCCAGGAATTTGAAAGGTTAAACTTTCAGATTACTACTGAATTGAAAGAACCCAAAAAGTTAAAAGGTTGGGGTATTGGAGAACTAAGCTTCTGATGTTACACACGCAAGATGAACTTCGAGAACTGCGCTTTGCCTTGCACCCAAGCACCATAAATAGTTGGCGTTTTCAGCTTTGGTTGGAGCATTCGAGGTTTTGGGGCTTCACTGCTTAACTACAGCTTACCCCGAAGTGCGCCACGAACTACAGCCTGAACCCAGTCGGAGTCTCTCCAGTAGAACTACAGTTGCAGGTTCAGATTTTGGGGTGCAGGGTCTCGTTTTCCACGTTCTGTCCAGAGGCCCCAAAACCGCAGACATCCCAAAAACCTAAAACCTAACCCAGACCCCCCCAAAGCTCCAAATTACCAGACCCATAAGTCACTGCAAACCAAACCCTAAACCCTCCTTGCTCTTCTCTGAGTGTACGAGAGCCCGCACGGTGTACCGGCCACTCCGCACCAACTTCTCCACCTTTAGGGTTTAGGGTTTAGGGTGTTTAGGGTTCAGGGTTTACGGTCTAGGGATTAGGGTTCAGAAACTCAGGATCGAGCAGGATCTAGTCGAGCTCGCTGTTTAGAACCTCGGAAAATACCCACCTGCCTACCCATAGAATCCCAAAACATGGAGAGAATGCAAAGTTTACCATCTTCCCTAAGCCCCAAACGAAATCCTAAACGGAACCCTAAATCCCGATTGACCGCAGCTAAATAATTAGAGTAGGCCAGGGGGGTACATTATACTATAATCAAGGGTCCTAAGAACTAACGTCACTAATGATTCCGACCGCTATGTTAAAAAGACAGATCATGATGGGTCCCTTCCGTTGCGTTTGGGAGGACTTGGACAGGCAAATTATGTTCAATTGAGCTCAGGCACAGCAACCCATTCCTGCTAGCGTATCGAAGATCTGCGAGTGCAACTGTTTCAATATACTTTGCGTAGCAGGGGTTCATCCGCAACGAAGCTGCGTCGAAAGTTGTCGACGCAAGTTGCATGCTGCGTCAGATTGAATCACGACATCCTGCCACGCTCCTGGTGGATATCCAGACATGGACCTCACTGCACAGCTCAAGCCTTCAAGATCCGCACGGCCCGCGTCCAAGATTTCTCTGGAACAGGAACTCCCAAGGACCCAGTCTCGTCCCCAACTCATAATCTGGGTTCTGCAGCAGAACCGTGATGGTAAGGGCCACGAACGCCACTCGCCACAGGGCGCGGTTCTCTGTTTCCCCTGGTATGGAGCCTGTATCAACTGAGGGCCCGAAATCCCTTGATAATCCTTTGCACGTTAAGGACCAACGCTAACCCCAACCCCCGAGGTACCTACTATATAGGGTACTAGAGACTCTAGGGACCTATATAGTAGGTACCTGGAGGGTTAGGGTAAACCTGAAGGCAAAAGTGTTTCGGGTCGCGGGAGCCGCCCTGCATTAGGCGGCTGTCCGAAGCTGCGGGCGTGCAGGCTTTAGAGCTTGGCGGTTCGGCTTATGAGGGCTTGACTTACTTGGTGGATCATGGGACCTAGTAAGTAAGGTTGTAAGTCCCTTAATTGGGGTTAAAAGAAAATATAAGTATAGTTACCGTAGTTAGAACCCTACTTACTAAGTCCCATGATCCTTTAAGTAAGGGTCTAAGGTTTCGGGGTTGCCATATCAGAGGGGGTAAAGTACCTAGTCAGGCGAAAACAGTAGCAAGGATCTCAGATGGAGTCGCATCCCTAAGCTAGACACCCTACTGTTGATGATACAAATCCTGCATTACCTTAAACACCCTAAACTATGGGAATTATGGTACATTCCTTATCCTGGGTAATGCAGGATTTATATCATCAACAGTACTAAACCGAGGCCCCAAACACCCCAACAGCCATCACAATATGAACCGAGGACGCCACAACGATACTCCCAGTCCGACCACCCGCGCCGGTCACCAGGATGGTTCCTTGACAGGTTGCACCCTAAACCCCAAAACCTAAACCCTTGCACTTGCTGGGGGCTTTCGGGTATACAGAGATTTAGGACTCAAGGACTTGGGGCAGAGAGGTTGGGAAGTTTCGGGCTTAGAGATTATGACTCTACACCTTAAACCTAAAAACCAAACCCTAAACCCTAAACCCAGTTATGACAGGCCATTACGCTCGGTCCGATGGAAAACTTCTTTGGTTGGTGGTTCAAGGTCTCGGGGTCCACATCTTTCTGACAGCTGTGGGTTCAGAAAGTTGGCGCTCCACCGCTTTTGCTTTCTATTTAGGCTGTAGGGTTGAAGTTTAGGATTCAGGGGCTTATGGTTCAGGGGTTCAGGGTTTAGGGAGGTCCGTTACATGATCTGCTTTCCTGCTGATGGCAACCAAGACGTCCTCAACAACAAGACCACAAACCCTCAACCCGGCTTGCCTTTTCGGGCCCCTAAACCCTAAACCCTTGCGCCTGACTGCGTGTCTAAGAAACCTGCAGACAACCCAGGGACTCCTCTACCAAAGCCTTTATGGCTCAGAGCTTTCCATATGTTGCTTTGGGGTTTAGGGTTTAGGGTTTAGGGTTTAGGGTTTAGGGTTTAGGGTTTAGGGTTTAGGGTTTAGGGTTTAGGGTTTAGGGGTTCATGGGGCTCGGGGTTTGTGGCTTAAGGATTAACGTTTCGTCATGTTGGTTGCGGCCTAGGGTTAACTTTCTATTCTGTTGAGCATGGTTCAGCCAGCAAACCTAGTGTAGAACAACCTGCCCATGGCCCGGAAAAGACGCAAGCCGCATTCATCTCCAAGCCACACAGACCCTAATAAACCCTAAAGCCTAAACCCTAAAGCACACACACACAAGCTGATTGGGGCTTGGACCCCCAGGCCCTAGCGGTTACGGGTTGAGGGCGTCGGACTTGAGGAATCTAATGTAGGAGCCTTAATAATTAGAATAGGGTTTTGGGGGCTCCTTACCATAAGTATACAGTATAATACACCCCAAACCCTATTCTAATTATTGAGGCCCTTATATTAGCTTGTTGGCCCGGGCTTGTCTGAACACTGGAACCCTTGGGACGCGGAATTCATGTAGCGGGTATCTGGCTGCGGGCACAGGGTCGAAACCTCAATCTCGTCTGAACCATGATTCAAGAGATAAATCAATATTGCACTATTCCTCAATCTATCATAGTTAGTAGCTGCTAGCTGGCAGCATCAGAGTTATTGTCATGAGAATCGCGGTTTTTCTTGTTGGAGCAAGCTATTCAAAAAACAACTAAGAACCCAAACTCGATCCTAGCAAGAATCAAACTCGAGCCCTATCGCCAAGGCACTGCCCTGCGCGAAGGCCCGGTCTTGGCTCGTCTGCAGTCCTCTCTTCTAGGGAATGAAATCTGGGAACAGCCCTATGCTGATGGGGCTTATGTCTACAGTGCTTTCCTCCCCTAAACCCTGAACCCTACATCTAAGGGGCTTTCCTTCCCAACCTTGAACCACGCTTCACTCGGGATAACCTGATTATGCAAGGGACCTTTGTATCACGACGATTAACCAAACGCTATGATATACTATAGTTGTATCAGGACTGAGGCTGATGACATAAGCCCTGCATTACCCATGATAAGGAACATACCGTATTCCCATAGTTTAGTGTCATTAAGGTAATGCCGGATTCATATCATCAGCAGTCTGAACTATTACTTACCTCCCCAATAATCCAGGGAAATATAAAGTTAAACTTTCAGGTTACTACGGAATTATAAATAACCCGAAAAGTTAAAAGCTTGGGGTTTTAGAGAACTAAGATTTATATACGATTACCCTAAACCCGAAACCCTAAACCCTAAACCCTAAACCCAATCCGGGAAAGCCCTACAAGCAGGGCATCCTCGGGCACCAAGGGCTGAGCATCTC